CACCTACTGCCCAGAGACTGGGAGACTTCAGTAAGGCAAGTGCTGCTCTTGTGTGCGGTGATGGGACTGCAGGAAAGTGTTTGTCTCCAAGACGCTTGCAGAGATTTTAGGGAGCCATGTTGAGGTGTGGGATGGCTAGCGGGGGATCGGAGAGACAGGTGACTTGTCAGAGCAGGAAGTCCTCTGTCGTCTGTGGAATCGAGAAGCAAACCTTGCCTTGTCGGACTGGGACTGGTGAGTGACGAGGATGAGACAAGACCTCTTCTCGGCTACATCGCTTGACTGAGCTTCACTCAGGCTGTGTATGATGGTGGACGACTCTGTGCGGGTAAGGAGCTCAGGTCGGTCTGAGCAGACGGTGACGTGGCAGCAGGCGAAGGAGACGACGATAACAAGATACTCGTGGTAAGAACTCTTGACTCGACAGAAGCATCGTTGACGTCTCCGAGCAGCTGGTACATCTATCGCAAGCAGCGAACCGTCAAGTGAGTCTGCCGGCTGTTGCGCTCAAGCTCAGCCGTCCCCCAGCTGCCGATGGACCCTTGAGAAGGTATTCGACGGTCAAGGAAGGCTTGTACAGATAAGGTGAGAACGAGGGAAGGGAGGGGAAGGGGGGGGGTTGGAGGAGGATGCTCACAGAGTGTGTAGGAACTTCATCAAGACCGGTTTCGACGAAGAATTTGAGCGAAGGGCAGGCTGATTCGGGCACGCAGCTTCATCTCTCCTTCACCAGTCTTGACGACTCGCGTACAGGCAACTCGTCGCCCCTTCTCAGCTGAGGTGGATAAAGTCTTCCAAGCAGCGCAGAACCAGCAAAGGAGCGCAGGTGCGACAGCACAGAGGAGAAGGAAGGGGAGGAGGAGTGATACACGAGCTGCAGCGCTTTGGCGGATAGACTTCAAATCATACCTCAAGGTGCTTCATCCCGCTCTGATCTCTGCCGCTCGTCCTCGCTCGCTCTTGTGACCCATGCTGACCAACCACAGACGCCGGAGGGTAGCGTTTTCATCCATCAACTCACAAGGTGAAGCTGTGATGGAGGATGTGAAGGTGACAGAGGAACAGAGCTGTGCGGGAGAGATTCAGGCCGCTGGTGCTACGAGCGCAGGAGCTCAGGTCGACGAATGCGGTCACTGCTCTACCTGCAGATCTCAGGGCCGGCGACTTCATCTGAGACGGTAAGGGGGACGGGAAAGCGCAAGATACGTGAGGATGGAAGGAAGGTTGTGTCTTAGTTTGTCGGAGTTGAGCTCACGATTCCATGTAAAGCTGTTACAAACGATCAAGTACGTTTTGCAACTCTCATGATACTAATCAATGCCAAGGGGCTCACAGAAAACAAATGATAGAAGTCGTGTACATTCCCAGCCTCACTCGATGATACATTCGAGACGCTATTCCAAGTTTATAACTGTCAAGTGGAAGGCAGACAATGCTAAAGGGCACGACGGCATCCAATGCAGATCTTTGTTCAACGATTATCATTACATATTTTAATCTTACGTTTGAATTCTCTAACATATCGATCATTAGATTCCAATGGAAACATGTTACCTGTTTCTGCACTGATACCGCATTAGAGGTGTGTGATTGTACAAAGAGAATTGAAACGTAAGGTTAAAACATGTAATGATAATCGTTGAACAAAGATCTGAATTGGATGCTTTCTTCCTGAAGATTTGACGTCATCTCGACAAGCAGACACATCCTAGGGATCATCTGAAGAGCTAAGATCTTCACTCCTACATAGGATCAGCCTTGACATCTACTGCATTCTGCTCTCTCCTCATGTTTTCACCGCCATTGTCTAGCATCGCTCGCCAACTCCATGTTAGGCTACGTGGGTCTGACCTTTGTGAGAGAACCGATAAACACAACCATCCTAACAGATCAATGGAAAACATGTCCTTCTCTCCGGAGCAAAGCAACTTCGAAGAGAGCAGTAGCGCAAGGCTCCTGCGAGGAGGACGGCAAGACCCATGCGAGGGCGATACTGCCGAAACAGGCGAGCACGCAAACGATGAAAGCCAGGGTCCCCATACACCGCCTCCTGAGCGCATCCATCCCACTCCGCTGTCAGTAGCTCCATGGTGATCCGCCAGGTACCAGAGAAACCGCAAAGCGTCAGCATGAAGAAGACCATCCGTACCTGCAGTGAAGGGAAGAAAGGCCTTCGGCGGGTGATGGGTGCTATAACTTGCGCGATGATTCGAAATCTTCTGTTGGGCGGGGCCGGAGAGCGCAGAAAGTCCGACGGGGCTGCCGCTGCTGTTGTAGGGATGAGTCATCGTGAAGTCGAGAACCAGCCCATTCCAGGTGTGGGTGGAGAGGCCAGGGAGCCAAAGGTCGCCCATGTGTCGGTTAGTGGGGCCATGCTGAGGGACAAGGGTCCGGGTGTGTCGCAGTCCCTGCTGATGAAGCTTCGTGACGATACCAGCTTCCACACAGATGTCGCGAAGAACCACAGTACACCGCTCATGTGCGGTGGTCCATAGAGCTGCACGATGGCGACAATTGGCCAGATGAGAGACACTGCTTCCCGCCGATGGATCTAGAGCTGTAGCACAACGATCACAGGTGGGAGGCAGCCTAGCCGGGGGTAGCCCATGCAGGAAGCGATCGACTTCTCGTGAAAGGTGGATGGGGCACTGGTTGGAAGGGTGAACGTTGGTGGCCTCCATCAGAGAATATTGCAAGCGCTGCTGTGGGTTTTGAGACTTCCGAAGGAGGGGCTCCAGGGGGAACGGGCTACAAGACAGACTCGCTGACTCGGGGGGATAGAGCTCCACAGTTTAGCTGCCATGAGCCCGGAGAAGAGCTGCCTGAACTTGGGATAGATGCGCCCGCCGCTCAAGATGAGGGGGAAAAGTCTGCATCAACCGTCCAGTGACTGAGCGCTTGGGGGGGAGAAAAGGAGGTCCGCCCGCGAGTTGAAAGAGCGCTGGAGATGGGATCGAATTGTGCAAACGTGCGTCCTCCAGGTCACTGGGGTCCAGGTATTGCGGCACTCCACGATCAGGCAGGGCCTGAGAGTAGGGGTCGAGAATGTCCAGGTTTGCACACAGGGTAAAGTAGCGCTACATTGTAAGAAGCTGGCCGTGGCGATGTAATAAGCTGATAGACTCACCCCTGCTTGAGGTGTAAAGCCATCCCCGCCCTCCTGGCATGGAAGTTGGCGCTTGAAAAAAGCAAACTCCAGCGGAGACAAGAAAGAAGAGCAAAGTTGGGAGGTGAGTAGCAGCCGCAAGCTTTTCCTGAGGCCAGTTGCTGATGAAGCCCCTAGAGCCCAAAGGTAGCCTCCTACCACCAGAATGCTGTGCGGGCGGTAAGTCGACCCAGGAAGGGGAAAAGACCTTGGAGTCTCGAGGCTGAATGTTTAGTGCCAAGTCATCCCGCAGGGTGTCGATAAGGTCCTTGACCGCAGCACTGGCATCCGAAAGTCGCCCAACAACAGTGATATTGTCGGCATAGAGCGGGAAGGTGCAGCTCGTATGTTTATCCGCTACTCGCATGAGAAAAGGATAGAGAGCGTGACAGAAGAGACTGAGACCTGCTGGATCACCTTGGTGAACCCCTCGAGAGCAATCGAAAGGCCGAGCTTGCGTTCCTTGCTTCAAAAAGAGACGGCAATCACCCTGATAGAAGTGAGAGACATAAGGGAGGACGCGGTGCGCAAACGATCCGCATTGCGGGAGCTGGTCCCCCGGCCTGGCGAGGAATCCCTCACCCAGGGACGCAAAGTAGCCCTGAGACGCCGTACGCAATTGAGGCACTTGACTTGTTTGTATGAGAGGAATGCCGGGTGGGGTACTTTAGACCAAACAAAATACATGGAGGGTGGGGTACTTTTGTGGAAAACAGCGACCTGCTATGACCTTCCTATGACCTTGATAGTACATTTGCGCTACTCCCCACTCCATGCTCCGTTCCTCCTCCCTCGCGTCGTCAACCAAGCCCTACCCACTCCCCTCCCTCCTCCCCTCCCTCCTCCCCTCCCTCCTACCCTTCCTCCTCCCCTCCCTCCTACCCTTCCTGGTACCCTACTCCCTCCCCTCTCTCCTCCCCTCCCTGCTCCCCTCCCTGCTGCCCTTCCTGC